CGCCCGGGTACCCTCCCGGGCAGCCCGGGGTGGGCAGGATCCAGGCAGGGTCCCAAGCGGTCTCAGCGCATAATATTAAAACTAGAGGGGAAAAAAAAATCAAACACATCCGAAAAATAAATATGTTGTGTAAAATTGCAGTATAAACAACGTTTGGCTGAGGGCCACCTCAAAATTCCTTGTTCAATTTAAAATTTTAAGATAAAAATAAATGAGAAAACATGAATCAAAATGTACCCTTATAACCCCCTTTGGTCACTGTTTACACCCCCAAAGCCCCCTGGATGACCCATTAAGACCAGATTCTGACTGCTTAGGCCAAGCGCAGTCCTGGCCTGAAGTCTTTTCTGGGAGGGGGAATCCTTGCCTCTTTTTTACCGGTCTGGTTTTGATTGGCGACCCTTCCTCTGCCCAACTGGCCCACGCATGCTGGCCGGGCGTGCCGGGCTGGGTGACAGCCCAGCATAGACTTATTTCATTTTCTTCATTAAGGAAATGAAGGAAAAAAGGAAATATTTACGGTCTTTTTTCTTTGGAAATCTACGTTCATTTTCAACGAACCTGGTGCTCAAAGCACATACGGCCTCACTCGACCACTCTCCATTCCTCAATTTCCGAGAGTGGAGGCGCTGCTCCGCATATTCTCGAAGTCTCAACTACCGACAATTGATCGAGAGTTGTCAGAGCCGCCCCTTGGCGAGCACTCTTGTTTTTTCAAGAGTGCTCCACCTGCAGCACTCTCGAAAATCGAGATTCCTCTCCGACGCCCCGCAACAGTCTCGAAAATATCGAGTCCTTTACGAGGCCCTCGACTACCAGCGTGAAATTGCGAATAGTCAGTTCTTTTCTTTTTCTTTTTTCCATTTTGAGTTGAAAAAAGGGGAGGGGGAAGAAGAACAAACAGTATTTCGAGAGTGTGGCAATCGAGTGTAGGTGGGGCAACACCTTCCAAATCAGCAAATTCAAGAGTCTGACAGCTCTCAATGCACTCTCGATTATGGTTGCAAATCGAGAGTGTTGGGGCACGGCCCGTATATTGGAAAAATATAGTCCACATCTGAGGACAACAGGTCGCGACACCCACTCCTGATCCTCCCAGTCCACGAAATACATTGGACAAATTACAGCCCAGCCCCATAACATCCCAAGAAAGACCCTCCCTCCCACTCTCCACCCACACGTCTCTCCCTTGCCTCTCTAAATGGAGGACAAACTCAAACAAAACAAAAAGAACTTTCAAGAAGACGTAAACATTGAAAAGAGGATGTAAGATAGAAGGCAGATAAACATAAACCGAAAGGAATGCAAAGAAAGAGGTCCAACTAACCGAAAGAACATGAACGACAGATGCCAACTACTCTCTCTCTCTCTCTCTCTCTCTCTCTCTCTCTCTCTCTCTCTCTCTCTCTCTCTCTCTCTCTCTCTCTCTCTCACACACGCACCGCCAGGTCGAAGATGTCTTCTTCTCCCGCCCGACACCCACTTACACGACTGCCGTCGCTTTGTTTGCCTGCAGTCACATGTAATGAGCGGGGTCACTCAAGAAAACACCAAGGCCCGCAGGGAGCAGCTCCCAAAAAGGCCAGGAAGAGATAGGGCCTCGTGGCACTACTCATCAAATGTGTAAGATGAGAATGTATCTCCTCCGAGAATGTGGAGAGACACACCTGCCTTTGTTCTTGCCTTTTCCACATTTCGTGAGTGGTGCAGTGAGCCCCGATTTCTTTTTTGCTTTCATTTCTCTTTCTTGAAAGAGCTGCGCATAGACCTTGGCGTTTCACAACAACCGCTATCCGAAGGCTCGCAGAGAGCCCCAGCATTCGGATCTACAATCAGAGAGATGGAAAGGTGCAGAAGGCCCGCAGAGGCCAAGTTTCACTGTGAGTATGAAAATCCATCGGGGCAGTAGGCGGATCGGATCGGGTGCAGGAAAACTGCGCACAGAAAAGCTTGTTGGCACGCAGCATCAGGAAAAAACAGTCCCCACAGCCGACAAGCTTTAGAGGGTTGGGAGGATATTTCAATCCAGCCTCTGTTGAGAATTTAGAATTTTGTTTTGATGTTTTTGTTGCCAGTCCAATTCGTCCTGGTCTGGAGGACTTCCCAGGACTCTGTCCTATCCACACCTCTGGCAAGTACTGTTTCACATTTCTGGCCCAGCTCATTTTGAGGCTGGGCCTGTGTCCGACTCCAGGCTGTTTTTTTCTTCCGGGCCCTCTTGCTGAGACAGCAGGGGACTGGACCTGAGTAGGGACCCAGACCACATGTTTTCACCCCTTTGCCTGAGTTTGGTCACACGGCATCTCACCTGTACTGCCAGATCTTGATAAGACCGGACGGCCCAGGTGGCAGGCCGACTTGTTTGGTGTTCAGCCCAGTAGCATTTAGGAGACGGCGGCCTAGTAGTTGGTAGGCAGTTGTCACTAAATTCGGATGCCACCAGGGTGCACAACCTCGAGCAGCTTGGTGGAGTTAAGAGGAGCAGCATTAGAGGAGCTAGGGTAGTGCTGCAGGTACAGAGAGGACAGATGAGGAGACGGTGGAGGAGTCCACTCACCTGGCGCCATATCCTGGAGGTCTGCCAACAGTTATAACTGCACACCTCCTAGACAACTGCAGTCCATCAGCGGCTCAACGCTCTGCCTTTCACCGGTCAGTATCATCTTCATGAGAGAGTGAGAGAGAGAAACAGGAGAATTCAACATTTTTCTTATCCGTATCTTCCATCTCTTCTTCTTCTTCTTCCTCTTCAGTGAGTGAGCGTACGGTCCATCAGCGGCTCAACGCTCTGCCTTTCACCGGTCGGTATCATCTTCATGAGAGAGAGAGAGAGAGAGAGAGAGAGAGAGAGAGAGAGAGAGAGAGAGAGAGAGAGAGAGAGAGAGAGAGAGAGAGGAGAATTCAACATTTTTCTTATTCGTATCGTCCATCTCTTCTTCTTCTTCCTCTTCAGTGAGTGAGCGTACGGGCGTGGAAGAGTGAGGTGGAGGAGAGACTACTATTATTTGGTGCTTCCATACATTTCGGTCTTCTTCTTCTTCTTCTTCTTCTTCTTCTTCTTCTTCTTCTTCTTCTTTTTCCTCCTCTTCCTCCTCCTCCTCCACCACCGTTCCTCCATCTCCCACCTTATACTTCGTCTATGTACGATAGCAGAGGGAAGTCTCTTGTGTGTTTGGACCCCTCCTGCTGGGTGTGAGGCTGGATTTGAGTCATGACGTCATTTCTGCTGCATCGCCAGTCAGTTGTATCTGATTTTGGCCTTCCGCTGCAGCACATTGCATCTGCTCGTCACATTTGTGACCTTTGAACATGAATCGCCGACAGTTTACTCCGGGCATCTCTCTCTCTCTCTCTCTCTCTCTCTCTCTCTCTCTCTCTCTCTCTCTCTCTCTCTCTCTCTCTCTCTCTCTCTCTCTCTCTCTCTCTCCCCACTATTTTCTGATGTATCCTCCTCTGACCGGTCTTCAACATTCACTTTATTGCCTTGCACCACCATTTCCTTCATCTGTCACTTTATCTTCCCGTTCCCCTTCTCCTTGAATTCCATCTGGGCAAACCAGGGGAAGGGAGAGAGGGCTTGAAAATATTAAAACAAAAATGGTGGATACTTGGAAAACAGTGGAGGGGAGTGGCACAGTGGATAGTCTGTCTAGGTGTGTTCCCCAGGTGTGTGTCTCGAACCACAAGGGCAAAGGTGGTCTTGTCTCTGGAGTATGTGGGGGGGGGGAGGGGTACAGGAACCTTGTGGTAGGTAGGGTTGAATGGTTCAGGTTGCTTAATGGACAGTTCACTGTTCGAGGGGAGTAGTTGACTCACATCTAGTGGCCTCAACGGCCACCTGCGGAGACCGCATGTGTGGGTGGGAAATCGCATCGAAGGTATAAATACCACCTTGGGCAATCCAAGTAGAGTCAGCCCGATGACCAGAGGGTGCGAGTCGATTGGGATTAGGACCACTTGGCTGGGTGGCCGTTGTCTCTAGGCAGTGTATAGACATTGTGGTACTCTCATAGCCCCGTCATCAGGGTCCTTGGGCGCATTGAGGGACCAATCAAGGGTAGGCTATGAGAAAGTCATAGGGGTCGGAGGGACTAGAGAGGATGCCAATAAAGTGCGCCTCGGTTAAGGGCTTGTACCGAGTCTGCCTCCTGATCTAGTGGGTAGGATAGTGGGACTACGGAGGTGTAATGTACATTAATAGGAGGGGGGCGGGCCCTCTACTCCTGTCCGAGGAGGTATTGGCTAGGGATCTGCTAGTCAATGGTTGGGGACAAAGCTTGATACAGTGGGCCCGCAATACATCCAGTTGGAGGTTAGGATCTGTAGGGACAGAACCTGATCTCTAGTGGTAAGCTGTAGCTGTGGAAGGGACATGACTTGCGACAGGACTTTGGGCTCTGAGCCCTTAGGGGAGTCCGTCTAGGAGGGTCCAGAGGGCCGAGTGGGTCTTCCGAACTTCGAGCGGCTGAACCTCGGAGAGTACTCCCGCGCCTGATACCCTGGGGCATTTGAAAAAAAATAAAAAATCAAAATCAAAATAACAATAAAATTTGGAAAACAAATTCTGTACTGCTGCTGCTTACTGATGAAAAGGAAGCACAAAACATAGAATCAAAAATCAAATTTGGCAAGAAAAAAAAACAAGTTCAATTGCATTTTTAACCTTTGATAGTTTGTCTTCAACCCATATTTCTCGCCTGCAAAGGCCGAGGACCTTTTCTAGCCTATGTTACCCCCTGTTTGTACCTAATTGTGAAGGCCATATCAGGAGACAGGACTATGGGAGACAACAGGAAAGTACCAAGTTTTAAGAAGTTTTGTCCTCAAAGCACTTGGGTAAAGAGACATGTTCTGAACTGCGATTTACATGCATCCATAGTAACATCTGATAATCATTCTCTATACGGTCAGCCTGATCGGTCACAGAAGAGACTTGCAGATATCTCCGACGAGAAGGTCAGTCTGATGGGGCACACAAAGAGACTTGGAAAATATCTCACCATATCTTTGATTTTAGAGGCAAACTTCTCGATCACCTTCGACTGCTTATGCATATTCGGAAACTGCCGCAATCCACTTTCGACACATACAAGCTGCTGATCATTCATCAATTTCCCCTTCCTTTTTACAGGGGGAGGGGCCTCCTTATCATCTTCCCCACAAAAGTTGTCCGTTGGGTCTCCACCATCATCACCCCCTCCACACACATCTCCCCTTTCCTTACTTCCCCATCTTCCTTTTCTTCTTCCTTTCTTTGCATTTACACCCTTACTGCGACTCTCCTCCCCGTCATCGTCATCTGGCTCCTGTTGATCACCTTTCTCCACATCCACATCGTCCTCGCCCTCCCTCTCTTCCCTCTCGGTTTCCGCAGCTCTCAACCTCTTTTCTTTCCTGCTGCTTTCTTTCTCCTTTTCTCTCTTCCTTTTAGATGGCTTTGCTCGATCCCACAGCTCCAGCTCAGGGGGCATTTCCTCTTCCGCAAACTCATCTGCGGTCTCCTCTTCACCTTCTTCTTCGTTTCCATCCTCCTCAAACTCCCCCTGCAGCGCTTCCTGCCCGTCGGACTCAAGGGAGGTTTTGTCAGACCTCTTCGCCTTCTCCTCTTTCTCGTGCTGACTGCTATCTTCCCCATCTTTCCTCCTAATCCCAGAAGCTCTGCCTCGAAGAGAACGGATCTGCTGGTGCCCTGAGAAATCCCTTCGCTGAGCTGACAACTCCTCCATGGGACCAGCATCATCATCATTATCATCAGCACCATGCTCATTTCCGTGACCGTCATCAACATTCTCATCATGGTCTTCATCATTAGCTTTGGAAGTCAAATTTCCTCTGATATCCTTCCGCGGTTCCTTGGCGTAGCCCAGTTGTCGTTCCTCTTCCTGTTGCATGCCACCTTCTAATGTTTGAACTGCCCAAAGGTGGTCCAGAGGTGTGTCTCTGGGTTGTCTCAGCTCGAGATCTGTGCGCCTTGCGAGCATGCGCTCAGATGGTTCTAAGCACTGCTCCTTCTCCCTGTGCTCCTGGTTTGCAGGAAGCGAACAATGGGAAGAGTTATCCACCCACGGCTCAGGTTCTCCAAGAAAGAGTGTCAGTGTCTGGTCTCGCCGAACAGAGCTCTCGTCCGCAGCCCCTGTTCCTCTCTCTCGATCTTCTGCCAATCTGTTATTAAGATCTTCAGGGAGTCCTCCATCTGGCTCAGGCCCACTCGACCTCAGATATTCAATCATGCCCCTATCCTCTTCCACCCACTCTTGTCTCACAATATCATCAGCCTCCTCTCCAAGCCGTGCATTCGCAAGATTGTCACGCCGCAGGCCATCCAACCTTCGAAATCGGGGGTTATTTTTCCTGGCTTCCTTCAGCTTGATTTGACGGTTATTATGCATCTTGTAGAAACAAATGATGTCCTGTCCCCCAACAAAGCGGTCCAAAAGCAATCCACCAAACCAGGCAACATGAGTAAGTCCTTGCTGCTGATACATTAATCACCATTTTCTTTTTGTTCTTGAGTACCTCTTTGAACGCCAATGACTCTTGTGAGCACAGAGGCTGGAATAGAGTACACAACTTCAGGTTCAGAAACCATGTGGAGAAATCCTGTTCTCAAAGACTCAAAAGTAAAAATCCACCAGGATGACATAGAGTTCATAAGTTCAGGTTCATAAATCATGTGGAGAAATCCTGCTCTTAACTTCTCAGTGTGAAAATCCACCAGGCACTAAAACACATGTACTGAAAATTGTACTATTTGTCAATCCCTTAGCAACGATACAGCACTGACACGCATCCAACTTGAGCGATGCTTTGGAAAGATGCTTCCCTTAAACTGCCACTACACCGCCCAGGCAAACTTGAGAATTGAAAATGAGTCATTCCACCCAGGGCGGACATGCCCAGCCGGGCAAGAAAACCAACCTAGCACCTGAGAGAAAACAAGGAGGGATGTTGTTCGGGACATCTGTTAAAACTGGACAGATACAGAGAAGACTAGCATGGCCCCTGCTGCAAGGATGACACACATAATCGAGAAATAGTCCAAACATCCCTACACTATTAGAATTGCTAACCTGACAAATCTGAAATCCGGGCCGTCATAGGTCCTACCGGCCCATGGCCCAGATCGACCGAACCATGTAACAAATCTGTCATCTGGGCCATCAGGTCCTACCAGACGGACGGCCTGGATAGATGCAGTCTCAAGATCTTAGGACCGCACCGATATCCAGGCCGTCGGTCCGGACCGACGCCTCAGATAGACGCGCCGCGGAGTGTCGTGGGGTACTACAGGACTCAAGTGTCGTGGGCTCAGATAGACGCACCGCAGAGTGCCGTGGGGTACTACCGGAGTCAAGTGTCGTGTGCTCAGATAGATGCGTCGGGGAGGGCCGGGGGAACCGCATCGAGCCATATTTTGTTGAGCTTTGCGCCTACCCGTCCATGTTGTTTGCCATAGTGCAAGCTGGGTATTGCCACGCGCCGTGTTGTGTATGTCTTGCCTGCTGTTGTTGACCTTGCTGCGTGGCGCCCAACTCTCTCTCTCGCTCTCTGCTTCTCTCTTTCACTCTCGGCAGACTGTCGGGGTTCAACCTCCTGATGAGTCGGTGAAAGTCCGACGAAGCAGTCTAGCACAATCATGCTATTTTTTTAGTGTATAGCTCGGTGGCGTGGTGACTCGTTATGAAACCTCCACACACAATATCCCTGTCTCCCTCTCACCTAGGGTTGGCCAGCTGCTGTGTTGCGCCGTGAGCTGTGGTGTGCGGAGGAGGAGGAGTCATCGACTGAATGCTGCTACAAGATGGAACCCTCAGATCAGTGGCATGGCTCCCTCCCCAAACCACTTCCCTCCCCCTTCCCTGTCTTCGTTCGCCCTCCGCTGCTCCTACGCCACCCGGCTCCTCCAACCACCCTTCTCCCCCCCGGCCCCCAAAACCGTTCCCCCTCCGCACCTCCGCAACCCTATTCCGTTAGAGTGCCTCCCCTTCTCCCCTCCGCTCACCTCGACTCTCTTCTCCGCCCATGCAGCCTCCGTCCTGTTTTCGG